ATAGTCTGTATATTCCCTCATCAGAAGTACTGAATAGATCTATCATTAAATAGGGATTTGGACTACATGTCCAAAATCCCTCTACTATCTTCCTCTCGAAATTCTATAAAAGTTTTATTAGGAAACATCCTTAAAAATCATCTGGGGCGCCTGCGTGGCTCAGTCAGTTAGGCAATTGCCTTCGGCTCAGGTCATGATCCTGGAGTCCCGGGATCGAGTCCCGCATCGGGCTCCCTGCTCGGCGAGGAGCCTGCTTCTCCCTCTGACCCTCCCCCCTCTCATGTACTCTCTCTCTCATTCTCACTCTCAAAATAAATAAATAAATCTTTAAAAAAAAAATCATCTGTCTCACCTTCTCTCAAGGGAAGGGGCTATGACTTAATGTCTATCCACCTGAACCCACACATGGTAGGAAACAGTCTCCAAGAAACTAATATAAGGTCATATACAGAGCTAAAACCCATTATTTATTTGATTCCTAAATCTATGTTCTTTATGTAATCCTAAAGTCCTCTTTTTGAAGTTTTTGTTCATTTGTTTTTGTAAGCTACAAACAATTCTGACTTCATCCCAATATTCTGGGGGAACTCATCAGGGTTCCTTAATACAAGGTTTACCAGCTGGATCCATTAAGCCATTTTCTAGACTTTGTGTGGTGCCTTCTTTCCCATTAATAATATACTCAACCTAGAGCCAAAGACAAGGTTAGGGAAAATCTTTGGTAAAGAAATTTCATGGAACTTTACTAGATGGAAATGTGAATTACATCTTTCTTCCTACTAAAAGTAGTGTAGAAATATACTTTAAAGAACAAGTAGGTAAAAAGAATCAAGAAATTCCAAAATCATTCTAAGTTTATTCATATAATATAGTATTTTTCTGTTTTGTTTTCTCTCCTTGTATCATGTGTTGACTTCCCAATTAATGGCTAATGGCCAAGATTCTGGATCTTCAGTTTATTCATATCAACCACAATGGCAAGGCCCCATGAAATACTTGCTTAACTGGGAGGATCCCACATAATTTTTAAACAAAATCTGTCACTGTATGGAATTCCAGGGGTCTTTGTTGGTAAGAAAAATATTTTCCAATTTAAGAAATAACTAGATTTTTTTCCCTCCTTCTTCCTACCAATTTTTCTCACCAACACACATATATACACAGTCACATACTTCTTATTTGAGGCCAATTTCACTGAAAGCAGAAACTTAACATTTTCAGCAATGACCGCAAGACCTGGTAATTTTGGCAATAAGTAAAAAATGCTATCTTTGAAGTAAGCTGCGGTTTGAACTAATTTAAGCATTAGGAGGCCAAAATTAAAGTTTTTTTCTCGTTTTCCCTATTACTGGTTTGCTGCAAGGAATAAATTGCTCAAGAATCAAAGGTGGGGGGGCGCCTGGGTGGCTCAGTCGTTAGGCGTCTGCCTTCGGCTCGGGTCATGATCCCAGGGTCCTGGGATCGAGCCCCGCATCGGGCTCCCTGCTCAGCGGGAGGCCTGCTTCTCCCTCTCCCACTCCCCCTGCTTGTGTTCCTGCTCTCGCTCTGTCAAATAAACAAATAAAATCTTAAAAAAAAAAAAAAAAAGAATCAAAGGTGGGGAAATGTCTGCTGGTCATCACTGGATTCTTGCTGAAAAGAGAGGACAAGTGAAATCTTCAGGAATCACTTCTCCCACGTCACACTTTCTGAAAACACTATGCTCAGGAATAGGCTAAACACACCACTGAAAATTATTTGAGGCCAGTATTTTATTTTATAGAGAGCAATTGCAATATTAGAAACTGCTTTGGCACAGGTTAAAAGTGGCTCTCATATACTTGCCAGTTTTCCCCAGGATCATCAATACTCATTACCAAAATTGACCTTTATGTGGTTACCATTTAGAGTTGCCACCAATGTAATGACAGAGTAGGGGGGATCCTGAGCACACACACAAAACTTTTATTTTTCAGATGTAATGCAAATAACCATATCTAATATTCTTTCAGAAAACAAATGAAAAACATGCTCAAAAAAAACAAGAAATCAAGTTATACTTTTCATAAGGCACCACAAAAACCCTGGTAGAGTCCATATTATATTTAAGTGTCTCACTAACAGGTAAATAAATATGTAAGAGAATAATCAATAGAGGGTTTTGAGGTTTACAAAAGACATTCCTGTTCAGACATCTTGGAGTATTGCAAAAGTAAGAATAAGCAGGGCTACATCTGAACCCGGCATCTCCTTTCCCAGGGCACATCATTCGTTGCATAGTGGTGACTGGATATGATCCAGGCCAAGAGAAGACTGCAATTCCAAAATATATTCACATCCCATTCTTTCCTTCTTATGTTGTGAATATCACTTGGCACATCCATATCCAAAGAAGTAATGATATGCTTTAATTTTAAAAGGGGAGGGGTTCAAAATGTAAAAGACAAATCAGTTGCCTGCTTTTTAAAATTTATATTTAACAGACCTACTGCAAAAGCAACTTTCTACACACATATGAAGCTAGTTCCATATGTAAACCTTTATTGAACCTGGTTATATGTGGGACTTTAACAGCTTAAATTCTTCCACAATTTACAATTTTTAAATCCCACTCCAAATTGTCACTTTCTCCTTTAAAAAGTAGATAGTCCCACCGTTTGAAAGAAGAGGTTTCTCAATTTCTCCTTTCATCCTCCTATTTTAAGTACTGGCTGATATTCACACAAATGTACTACAGAATTAAAATATTGACAAGCAGGGAGTTTCTTTTATGTGCACTGAACTGCATCCAGAATCTTAAAATTAAGAAAAACAAATAAACTGACATTTTTTGGACACCAAAGACAAAAGCAGAGAAGAACAGAAGTGAAGCACAGGTAAAATTATTCTACTCTTACAGGTCTGCTAGCCTTTGCTAAGATTTTGATTATTAAATAAGTACATGGTGGGCAATCACAGATTTAATGCTTATCTTTTCAATTATTCAAAGTATGACATACAGTAATTTGTAATTTTACTGAGGCACAAATTTGAATCATGCAGTGCAAAGGTGGTTTGCAGCAACTCAGGGAGTCTTAGCATCTAAATCTCAACATGGCTTTGTTGCAATAATTATCTGTAAGTAAAATAAACATTTGTGGGAAGAAAATGTCCCCTCTTCTGCCAACAAGAAAGCGAACTACTAATGCTATAGTTGTAAACTTGGGGATTTGCATAGTTCCAATGACCTACCCACTTTGCGAATATTAAAGACCTACATAGCATTTTTTCATTTTTCTTTCTATAACCTTCCCCAACATAGTTATAATGAAGGTAGTAAGAAATACCTTTGATAGAATTCACATAGAAGTTAAAATACCAATGGTGAAAATTTGCAACTTTGGAGAGAAGGGTAAAGGAACATTTTAAATCAGGTTTTAATATGAAATGTTACAACGTTGAAGAATGGAGTAAGTTGTAAGTAAGTAATTTCCTCTAACTGAAAACCATGTTTTATATTATGACACCGGCATGTCTTTAAATAGATGAATCTTAGTTCATTATTTCCACAATTACAGACTTGTGTATGTTCATTTTTCTCCCCCCCCCGCCTTTTTTTATTTAATTTTAAACTAATTTCTCTTATCTGTTCTTCTCAGCCTTGGTCTAAATCTACAGTCAAGTCAGACCAAATCCTCTGTGACTTTCAAATAAATACAGAAAAGCTCATAGTATCAACTAAATCATACACTTAAGTTTCAAAATACCAGAAGGTAAACGGAGCTACTCATGGTTGGAGACTGCCTTGCATCTCTCTCTCATGTCTTCAGCAGGTAAATACCATATTAAGGACATAAATTATTCCCTAAACAGCCACCTATATCCATCCACCATATTCCAGGAAGCAGAGCACCTTAGTCATCTTTCTCAGCATCTTCATGCCCCTCCACTGATGGCTGAGTAAGGTTAATAGGTGACTAGGAAGAAAAATGAAATATTTTTAAATGTATTCCACCCAGGCAGCCATCATTTAAAACTGCATTCAATTTTTTACTCAGAAGTATTTGAAGATCTTTACAGAGAAAAGGCAAAAAAATATTGTGCTTTCTTTTATAACATCAACCAGATGAAATTTTTTAACTAAATAATATCTTTATATAGATTGGCAAAATGAAAACTTGTGAAATTGGTTAATAGTTACCTTGCAATATCCACTGAAATCTTAAATCATATACACACTTAAGATCATGCACAGTGACACCTATGAACCTCTTAACAGGTCAAAACACTAAAAATACTATATAATATTAAGGGAAGAATGATCAAAAATTAGGTAGTATGAACCATAGAGAATGCATTTACAGAAACTGGGTTTTACAGGAAAGCTTTTGCTTTTTTGTAGTAAGATGCCTTTTGAGTTAAATCTCATACCCACTCAAACTGTAACTGGACAGTACATTTCACTTCTAGTTACTAGAAGACATTTCTTTAAGAGATTGGGGCCAAAAGGGAAAAGCTGTTCTCTAGGCTCACCCTGCTCCTCCCTTTTAAAAAGAAAACTGATGGATTAAGTCAAACCACAGATTTTTAACCAAAATAAAGGGACACAGGATAGTGAAGACCAAACACTACTTTTAGGTTTTTTTGGTTGGTGGTTGTTTTTTTTGTCCTTTAAAAAAAAGAGTCCCCTTCTAATAAACGTTTCCATATAGCTTACCTAACACCTTAACAAGAATAGAGAACACAACAGGAGGAAAGAGGACACAGCACCATAGTTTCAAACATTCACATACAAAAACAAAACAGCCACCACAGATAGAAACACCAAGTTTCCCAACAGACAGGGACAAGTTCCAACACACAAAGGAAATGTAATTATCTATTTGAACAAAAACAACATGGAAAATCTGGTCAGGCTAGGACAGAGAAGGAAGTGCTAACTCCTTGTACTACAAGGAAGGAATGGGGTTGATTAAAAAGCAAAAAAGAGAAAGCAAGCCCCCAAATGGATTTTTGATGCTGAAACTCTGTCATATGCTGCTGGTAACAGTAAATATATATATTTATATATTCATATATGTATATTAAAAAAGGAAAAATAATCTATTTATAGAACAGTCAGTAGTCAGAGACATTTAGAAAAAAGTAAAAACAAGTCCTTTTTTTAAAAATGGATTTACTAAAACAACTTTATCACCCAGAGGTGCTACAACCCCACATTCTCTGATGAAGCCATGGTGTTATTCAACAGCATCTGCTGTGGGCCACAATCAGAAATTGCCAGTGTTGGAAACAGCAGACATTGGGGTCAGGGCTGCAAGGCAAAAAGCTGTTATTTGCTGGTCTTGCTCATGGCCATGCCTGAAGCCTGGTGGTATCTGGTATACTTGTGAATGAAGGTTTCCCCGAAAAGCATGCATCACTGTGTCTCAGTAAAACATTCTGACTTGTCTTCTCTTCTTTTGCAGGAGGCTGGATCCATGTACCTGCTTGTCTCTAAAATGCAGACCCAAGACAGCAAGACTTCTCAAAGCCAAAAAAGGCTCCTTGACTTGAAATAAGAAAAGCTCTTCTTCCCAGAATCCAATCTAGTCAGACTTCTCAACTAGAGGACATACTCCTCTCCTTAGGAAGATAAGGTGATCTGCCTCTCACTTGGGGTTTTCTTCTTGGTACAAACACACACAAGTAGCTGGGATCTAGACTCTGGCTACTATCCCATGACTAACAGGAGTAACTTTGGCCCTGTTGCTTCCATAGTTGTATCTGTAGGGCATTATATGCCAGGTAACAGTAGAAGGAGAGTGGTAATCTTACTCCTCTCCAATTGTCCTAAGGAGTGCCAAGTCATCAGCACCTCCAGATGGTGCTGCCCCCAGGCTGTACACCACTAACTAATATCGAGTGGCCATAAGCCACAGCCTATATGCCCCGCTAGCATACCAATGTATTAATGCCAACCAGCATTCTAGAGCTCAATCACATGTCTGGCTGTAAAGTAACAAACCATACTCAGAGGAGACATAAATTGAAATACTGGCTGCTGTACCAAAGACACCCTCTGCATAGATGTGTTGAAGAGAATGTAGGTCACACAGTCCATGCAAAGAGGAAGTCAGCTAAGAGGACTTTCTCTGAAGGCCATTCGTCTTTGGAAGCAACATTCTGAGTGGATCTACACCACTCTACTTGATGACTAAGGTCTCAATGTGGTCCATTTCTCCCCATGTCCCAAACTAACCCAGCAATTGCTAACTGGTCTCCTTAAGATCCTCCATTGGTAGTTTGTAGCTCATTATGAAGGAAGGAGGTGGTGCTTGACCTGGGCTATCTGGCCCTTGCTTCTTTGCACAGTTTATACAGATGTAATCTTCATTTTCAGCCATTTCTGGAGATACACCCACACAAACTTGATGAAACCACTCATCACAGCCACCATCACATTGTACCCAGTCTACCTGTAGGAGACAAGATTGGGGAATGTTTAGGTTACATAAACATTAAGCCTAGAAAAAAAACAAAACAAACAAACAAACAAACCAAAGAGCTTTCTTGGCTTAAATGATAGCAAATTAACTGGGATGTCCAGAGATAACTTCTTATGGGGCTACTTTTTAAAGACAGAAATTGGGAAGTTAATACATCCCCAAATTCTATTTTACCATAATATGTCCACAAAATTGGGCCTCTTAGGTACTCCATTACCTCATAATTACCCGGGGCTCCTTTTGAGGCAGAAACATGTTTGAGAAAAACTCGACAAAAAAGGAACGTCTAATAGAGCAGCCAAGTAGTTTTAGCTAATATTAACAATTTCTAGGCTCTAAGACAATGCAATTATCTTAGATCAAGAAAGGAAGAGTACAACAATGTGAAGGCAATCCTGTGTATTAGCTTTATTTCAAAGAGATAAGCCAAAGTACTAAGAGCATTAAATACCTTTTTAGAAAAGCAGTCACATAGGCCACTTTTAAAACTAATATTTTTTATTCTTCTCTTCTTCCGTTACAAATACAACTCCCTATAAAAAGTTAGCAAATATCAGAGGTCAAATCTTACAAATTAACCAATTAAAACAGTCAAAGTCACAGGTCAATAGATCACCCTGGGGTTTCAAATTAAAGTCATTTGTAAAATAGGTCAGTGGCAGATACTAGGCAAACTTGGACCCTCCAGAGAATATCGTGATTATAGGAGGCTAGAGAGCGACTGTAGTTTGGTGACTTTAAGCCTTGGGCCTAGGGTTAACAATAAGGTGATCTGGGGCTTTGTATCTGGAGGGTGACTGTTGTACTTTTTATAGCTGACGTCACGGCAGATGAGAACCTTTAAGATTACAAATGAGCTACTCTTCCTCTCCCCAGCACAAAGTGGATCTGGATCATCTCACTGGCAACTTACAAAAGCCACTTAAACACTGAGCTCCGCCAGATTTCAGAGCCAAGAGGCATGAAAGGATCAAACAGGTACCTCAGTGCAGCTTAGGAGAAAGAAGAGGAAGGAGGTTTTGGCTAGGTAAATGAGTTTCAGAGAAAGGGAGTAGTTTCCAAAATTAGTTTCCAAGTACTATAAGTAAGAATCATCAAAATGATGATACTCATGTTAGTGGTTTTATGGTTGTGATACAGCATGGGAAAAATCATTTGTCAAAATAATCTTTCTATTCCAGAGTTCTAGATCTTAAGAGATGGTGCTGTGCAAAATGAAGATTACTGAATTCAGTCACAAGTTCTGAGTTCTGATACATATAATTTGAGGCCAATAACTTAATCTCATTAAGGCTCAATTTCTTCATTTGTAAAATAGAGATAACATCTTGTTTACAGGATTATTTAGAGGAACAAATGAAATAATGTATGGCAAAACAGTTAGTTCACTGCCTAGGATACTAGACGTGTTTTTTAAGATCACAGATTCACGGCTCTACTCATTATTCTATCTTACACGAAAATCATTTTGCACCTTGAAGTAACTGCTGCAGCACTGTTTCTCAAAACATGTAGACCACTTACATAGAATTACCTGTTGTGTTTGTTAAAAGTGTAGCTGAGACCTATCCCAAACCTACAGCCTCAGAATATCTTGGGGGTACAAACTAGAAGCCTATATTTTCAGTCAGATTCTAGGTAATTCTTGTATATTCTAAATTTGATCATCCCTGGCACTCTGTGATACTGCTTGCTAGTAAATTCAGAACCATTTTACAATTCGTTCCTAAAACAAATTCTGTTTTTGTTCTGTAATTGTTTATGTAATATTTAGCTTCTGAAGTCTGTGTAGTGAAGAAAATTGATCAAAATGTTCCTACTGCAGCTAGTAAACTAGTACATGAAAGACAGAAAGGGGCAGATAAATGACTTCTGGGCAACAAACTAAAAATAAAGGTACCGCAGCTATGGAGATTTATGAAGTGCCAATCTGATGGTGAGTGCTTTGGCTCTCTGGAGCTGGTAAAAAGAACTGGGAAGATGATCTCTTTCTTTGAGCTGCCCAAATCTGAGATATTACCCTCTTTATGATGCCACCCTGAACCAAGAGACAACTCTACTCCTACCTCCAACCCTCTTAATCCAGTCCAGTCCTCAGTCATGCTAATCCACAGGATAAGAAAGTTCCTAATTTATCAATATTTGCTGCCAAGAAAAGTGGTTCCATGTTTCTTAAAATCTAATTCTGCACTATACTCACTGGCTTCCAGGTTTCCTCAAATTAAATCTATCAATCTCTCTCAAGTAAGGAAGAAACGTTCTCTTTTGTGATTTTGGCTACGGGTCCATTCCTAAGCCTAGCTCTCCCACCATTCCAAAAAAGTATAAACTTTTCTTGAGATATTCATCAGTACACAGATTCTATCCCAGCCTATAGATTATATAAAAATTCACCCCAATTATCTAGCAGGGAAAAAATTAGTCCTTCCCTTACTAGCATCTTTTTATCACATTCACGTACTAACAATCCAACTCCAGTGCTACTTTTGTTTGAAAAGGCCCACTGGATCATAAAGCAAACTAACGTTTGGAATGTCAACTCAATCCACTGATGATTTTGACACTGGGCAACAGACTATGTAGTGGCCTGAAGACTCAAAAAGACAGAATGTGGTTAACTGCGTATTAAGTTCTAATAGTCACTTCCCCTTTCATTATTTTCGAGAGATCTACTTATCAAATCACAAAAATAATTATTAAAAAACTTCACAGCTATGAGCTGTTCAAATATTAATGGATAAGAGGTTTCTTAGAAGTATAGTACAAATAGGTTACCAGTTGGATTTGGGGAAATTTTAAGAGAAATATGTTAAATACAAGAAATAATGTTAATTTGGTATTTCATGTTTTGCTATATGGTTTCATATTTACACTTAAAAATATTTGGCATATTCCATCTTGTTCACTTCACAGAGCATATTACTGCAATGGGGAAAAAGGAAGGCCTGGAGATTTAGTGATATTCTTAGCTTAGTTCCCCCATGGAGCTTTTGTTATTTTGGCATTCAATCTCTACTGCACCAAGGTTCCTTGCAAAAACCAGATATGAAAAATTAAAACAATCTACTCAGTGAAGTACACTTTAACAATGTTCAGAATTCTTGTATTTTTTGGTGCTCTCAACATTCAGTGACCAACCTTCCTAGCCAGCCCAAGATTGGTATTTCCCAAGACACAGGAATTTCAGTGCTAAAATTAGGAAAGTCCAGGCAAATTGGAACAGTTGGTTAGCCTATCTCCACATGGCTGAGACATCACATCACCATGACAATCTTTTAAAATCAGAATGACTAACAAATAATAAAAGTGAGAGACATATATAAACTTAATCTCTACATCCCAAACTTCTTATAGAAATAGTAATGGGTAAGGAAAAGGCCCAGAGGAAGCAGGGGGGGGGGGTCTATTTTCCTAAATAAGAGGATTATTTATTCTAATACAGGGGAAAAAAAATATGTTACTTAAATGTTAGCTTGAAAGAATTTGCTCCTTCAAGTTAACTTGTTTTACTCTTGGTAACTGTATGATTGAATGAAAGGGACAGACCTCAGGGAGAAAAAGATTCTGAACCTTAAAACTAGTTTTTTGAAAACAGTTCTTAATATTTTATTTTTTCTTCATTATTTTTTAAATTAATTTCACCTTGAAGGTAATTTGATAATGATGGAAGAGACAGTTGTTTTTTTTTTAACCCCTTACAACATTATTCTGATAATATTTTTCTTTTCTCTTTCTAAAACATCCTGAAATTGAGCCTAGGTGTATTTAGGTAGCCCTTCAAAGTTTTCTCAATCTGCATGTTTTGGGGGAAAAGTAATAGTAATTACTGGTTAGAAAAACGGTAAATGTACATTTACCTAAATATGAAGGAACCCTAGAAGTTATTTTTTGCTGCATGTTTTAAGAACACAGACTTTTCTAAAAACATTATCATCATTTTGTTCTGAAGATATGTGTCATGCATCAATTGGTTTTCTTAGAGAAATACCATACTTCAAATTGAGAAAGTTGTAAAATTCTTTTACAAAGCAGTTAAAGAAATATACCTTTTCTTTAGTAAAACTAGTGCTGAGAACAAACTTGGAGAACCATAAATATTGCAAAACAGCAACGATGGGCAAAATGTTTACAATCTGAAATAATTTCTGTTTAAAAATTAAACACATTACAGAAATACATTTACTAAGTTTCTTTTATGTAGGACGATGACAGGTTAAGGCATACCTTCCTCACTTTTGTATATGTTTTAATAGTTTGAAACAGACATTTTCTCTGAATGTTCAGCTAAGTCTCCCTTTGTTCTATTAAGACAACTTTGCAGATTTTAAAAAAATACCTTTAATGTTAGGAGCAAATCTTAGGGCTCACTTAAAAATAACCATCACATTTTAACACTGCATTTTGTTAGCAAATGCTTTCATATAGATTATCTCCTCTTATTCTCATAACCCCGAGAGTATGCAGGGTATGTGTTAATTTAACAATTTTACAGCAGATGAGGAAAAAAAAACTGCCTATAGTGTTTATATGCTACAGGAAGGTAAGAGATGACCTGAGCGATATTTAAAATTGCTGAGCAGAGGAGAGGGGAAAGATTAAGTGAAAAGGTGAAAAAAGAGAAAGCAAAAGGTTCATGATGGATATAAACATTGTAGAGGAAGGATGATAGGAAAGCTTGAAAAAGAACCACTACTTCTTGCTGCCAGTCTGAAACTACCATAAAATCAGTTAAAAAAGAAACAAAGGGAGAAGGTTCTGCCAACACTAAGCTGCCAATACTTCAGTACCCAAAGAGAAACAGTTAACCTTTCATCAACCTCTTTAATGAACAAATTCAGATGAGAATAAATTCAAAATGAAAGAAAAATACACACACACATATATATAAGGTAGCTACTAAAATACTTTAAAATGTTTGTAAAATAGAAACATATTTAATCAATAAAGATACAAAAGTGAGTAGATAGTATGACATGATATAAAATTATATGGAAAAAGGACTAGAAGGAAACACACTAAAATATGTATAGGTATTGTCCTTGGAAGGTTAGACTATGGGGATATGTGTCTTACCAAAATATATTCATTTTCCAAAAATGAGTGGAAAACATTTAGTAAGTATAATTTAAATATGTGTCATTTAGTTTTGGAATGTGTTTTTGTACTTACATCTTAATTATCAGTGGGGTGGGGATATTAGTGGTGAAAACCTGGTCTGGGAGCCAGGAAACCACAGTTCTACTTTTGGCTTTGCACTACTTAGCACTGTGACTTTGGTCACATCATTTATCTTCACTGAGTCCTGGTTTTGTCATTTGTAAAATGAAGAGCCTGGACAAGGTTAGACCTCTTCAAGCTCTAACAAGTATTTGACTGAGGAGGGAAGTAAGGGAATAATGATGCAGTATATTTATTCTGTTCACATATTCAAATTGAGGAGGTATTAAAATTTTAAATATCAAGTGGTATAATGAGCATAATAAAATTAAAACTATGAATTTACTAATAATCTTGATGGGAACCATAACAGACATCTCCAGTCACTGAATGAACTGGGATTTTTCATAAAGTCTATCCATCTTTCTCAGAAGTTCATAATGTCAGTATTACCTAAAGAACGGCCATCATATAATTACTATACTTAAAATTTAGGGCTGAAACTTTTAAAATAAACGTTCAAAGGTTTTAATTATTTTTTGCAAGGTATTTGAAAAAAATCTTACTCCATTTAGAAGAGTGCACATAGGCCTGAGTGTGGGTAAGGCACAGACCAAAAGGGAAGATTTAACCCCTTAGTTTTAGTAGGTCTTTAGAACAAAAATCGTAATGCAATTTGCCACAGCTCTTAAAATACTGGCTCAGAACATTTTGAGGCCACTGTGACTAACTGACAAGGTATTTAGTTCTCTGAATCACCGTACAGGGAAGGCAGAAGGACTAAAGTACTACACTGCACCCGGCTATGCTAACCGCACATGAAATGCACTGCCACCCAGGGTTATCACACAGCTTCTCTCTGCTCTGGTCTTGTTACGTTCATGAAGTCCATGATTTTGAAAGCACAACATTTCTTCCATTAAGCACACTGACCTAAGAGCCTCATAATTCAAAACAGTTTATAGAAACTGTAGAAAACATATTCTGCTGGAAGCCCAAATCCTGGAATCAAAGCCAGATTCTCATGACATCAGGCCTCTGTCTCGCGCCTGCCGCTGCGTGGCCGCTCTCCCGGGGGTGTACACGGTTAGAGCTCACCTTGTCCTTGCAGGGCCGCTGGCAGTTCTGTGCGGCGCACACAGCATTTTCGTCATCGGACTCCTCTGCTCCAGACCAGTCGTACTTTGAGGGGATGTCCAGCACCTTTTTCTCTCTCTTCTTCTCAGTAGTCTCTTTCACAAGGTCAGCTTTGGCTGCAGCAGCCTTCTCCTTCTTTTTCTTTCTCTCTTCTTCTTTTGCCAGTTTCTTGGCCAGTTTATTCAGCTCCTTTGATTTTTCTGCACTTAGTTTTAATTTCTTCTTTTTAGGTTTATCCATTTTCTTTAACTCCTTGGACTTCTGTTTTCCTTCTCCAAAAAGCTGTTCTACTTTTTCTAGCTTCCGTTTCCGCTTCTTCTCTGAAGAGTCTTTTCCTTTTATTTTTAATGGTTTCTCTTCCATGCTGTCATCCTTCAACAATATAAAAGTAGAAAGAATTTTAAAGCAAGACATTTAAAAAAAGTTTTATTCTCTTGCAGGAGGTACCTTGAATAGACAACTTCATAGAGTCAGGAAGGAGAACAGTGGTTACTGGGGGCTGACGGAAGGAGAAAATGGGACTTACTATTTAATGAGTACAGAGGTTCTGTTTGGGATGATTGAGAAGTTCTGGAAATGGACAGTGGCAATACTTGTGTAACACTGTAAATGCCATTAATACAAGTGAATTTTATACTTAAAATGGATTAAAATGGTAAATTTTATGTTGGGTACATTATACCACAATAAATGTTCTAAAGATATTTTAAAGATATTTTAAGAAAGCAAATATTCAATGAAAACAGAAAATAATGGCAAGCCTATAGAAAACATCTGACTTTAGCTTACTAGGGAAAAAAGATCATTGTCAGCCTGTGTTAGTACAGTACTGTAGCACGTCTAATTGACATAAAACATACATATAAAGCTAAAAGTACTAAATGTACACTGAATTATGTAATAACTTTCTTGGTCTTCATTTACCACTACTACAGTTCTTTATTAACTCACAATTAATAAATTCCCGATGGCTAAGAAGTGATTAAAATTGTTGGTAAGACAAAAAAATTATATCCATGATCTCATTATAAAAGACATGTAGTGACTCTGGCAAGGGCTAGAGAATAGCTGATGTGACAAAGCAAAAAAAACCCTTATTTTTCAATTTTCTAATATTGTTCCAATTTCTACTATATGCCAATGTAATAAACATTAAAAAAATTTAATTTTTAAGAAGATTTTATTTATTTATTTATTATTTATTAATTTATGGGGGGGAGGGCATGCATACGAATGGGGGGAGGGGTAGAGACAGAATCCCAAGCAGACTCCCTGCTGAGCACGGAGCCCAGTGCAGTGCTGGATCCCACAACCCTGAGATCACAACCTGAGCTGAAAGTAAGAGAGTCAGGATGCTTAACCTACTGAGACACCCAGGTGCCCCAGCATTAAAAATTTTTAATAGTAAAAGTATGTCTAGCAACAGGAAGAACAAGGAGGAGGTAGAAAAAGAAATACTGAAAAACATAAGCTTGATAATTACTTAAGAAATACCACCTGAGAATTCATTTTGTGACATATTTGAGACTGAAAAGTCTTTGACAGGAACCTAAGAAACTGCAGAATGCAGCAGAACACTGCATTATAAATGTCTTAAGTCTATCACATCTCGAACTATGTATCTACCTTCTCAATAGTTTGTGTTTGCTTATGTGTAAAATAAAGAGGATCAGATGAGATAATGGATGTGAAGAAAACCCTTTGTATTTTGGAAAACACTATCTAAATCAGGCTAACTTTGATCTGAATTCCAAACCAAAAGCTAACTATCATCTGCATCTGTATCAACTGTCAGTGACACTGTATCATTCCACTGCATCAAAATAAGTAATGGAAAAGAATAATGTAAAGAATACTAGGAGTCAAATGCCAGAGTTGGAATCCAGTTCTCTCTGTTTTTACCAAATGTCTGACCTAGGGAAGTTTCCACCTCTCTGACCCTTAATTTTTTCATATGTAGAAATAGGTCTATCCTTTCCTCTCTTCCATTCAGGATTATTTATGCTGAGGACTGAATGAGATCATGGATATAAAAACACTGTATAAACTGCAAACTGCTATTTAAGTATTAATATATGAATGTAGTAGACTCTCTCTCCCACCCCAGTCTGCTATTTAACCCTTCCCTCTTGTTGCCCCACTCCTCCACTACTTAACCCTTCCCTTGCTTTTTTTTTTAACCACTGTATTTTCTTGTGCCTTCTTTTTTGGGCCTTTCAACAGTGGGAATATGGGCTAAGGAAGCTATTCCTTCCTTAAGAGAAAAACTGGGGAGTTTTCAGTACCCTCCTTTCTTTTTAGTGGAAATGGTGTTTGGTTTTTTTTCCCCAAAATATTACATAAAATCGCAGTAAGACCATAAAGCAGAACTACATTTGGCTTAATGGAAAAGGAGGACAGCCACAGTACTACCCACTCAGCCATCCCCAACCTGGCATTTGTGGCACCTCCAAAGAACCAAGGCATTCTAAAATGTTAAAACCACTGTTTAAGTAAGCTTTAAATCCTTGCCTCCATGATATGCAGGAATCTGTCTTCAGAAGGTGGATGTGTGGCCTGCAAAATCCGCCATATGTGTTGAGTCTCATCCAGAGATACTTCTAGGAGATCTCCAACCATCATAAGTTCTTCCAGCTGGGCTTTAGCTCCAGGTGACAACTCTAACACTGGAGGTTCCAAACTTCGGGGCACCAAAGGGCTCTTCCGAGGTTGTTTCCTTGGGGTGCTAGAACCTTTCCAATAAAATGTAAGACAAAACAAAAAAATGAAAACTATGGAAAAGTCCCTCCTCCTCCAATACTGACTTTAGATATCTGAAATCACTGTATCCATATGAAAGTGAAAAGGAAATCTTCAAAAAATACAAAACAAAAAGATCTAGAATTCTAATGCCCACTCTAAAAAATTGGTTAAGAGTAAAAACCTGGTTTCTTATTGATTTTTTATTCTGTGACTGAACAGTGGAAGGAGAATGGGAAGGAATCTCTTAATCTATTCTCTCTCCATTTTAGAGGGGACCAAAAGATTAAGCACATGAGCTGCCCATAATAAACTAGCAACAGTAATTTGCTAGTCCATAAGATCCTGAATTTTACTATGAAAAGAGAAACACCCCTTACTTCCCAGACGTGTGACCTACCCCAGTGTCAAGTATTTTCACTGGGGAAAAGCAAAACAGACATATGAGGGCAATTATCTACCAAGGGAAGGAAGAAGTTCTAGCACTTAAAACTTTCTAAAACAATGAATATTCTCAAAAAGCAGCAAGTTCCTCAACAACTGGTAATGAACAAACAGAGGCCTATCAGAGATTTTATATAAAGAGAGATGGGACTAGAGGGCCTCTAAAGTTCTTATTAGGATTCAATAATTCCATGTAAGTTTTTTTTAGGTTACCACTTAGTAACATAAAATGCATATAGAGACTTAGCTTTTCCTAATCAAAATTGCATTTTTAGGTTTTACTAGCATTTCATGGCCAGGATGTACATTTAAAGAGGGATTCATAGTCTGGGGCGCCTGGGTGGCACAGCTGGTTAAGCATCTGACTCTTGGTTTTGGCTCAGGTCACGATCTCAGGGTCGTGAGATCGAGCCCCGTGTCAGGCTCTGCCCTTGGCATGAGGTCTGCTTGAGATTCTCTCTCCGTCTCCCTCTGGCCCCTCCCGCTCTCTCTAAAATAAATAATCTTTAATAATAATAATAATAAATTTTAAAAAGAGGGATTCATAGCCTTGATTAATACAATGTTTTTCATCACTGGTTTCAGGTATATCTTCTTCACACTGTTTTAAAGGGTAATACCTTGAGAACAACTCTTAGAAGCAGAAGAATAAGCATGTTCTGCACAGAATGAAGGCGCTGTCCACATGTGAGTGACCACTTCTTCAGACTTGATGGGAATTTCTTCGTCACAAAAAAGATTGGGTTCCAAACTACTGGAGGACTTCACACTGGCTGTGTCCTGCGGAAGAAACCAAGAAGGGTATTCAGGATTAGAACCACTTCATTTACCGTGACAAGGATCTAAATGCAGGCTTTCAAGTTAAAGCTTGCAATATACTAAAAATATGACCTTAATGGAATACTATTCAGCCATCAAAAAAACTGAAATTTTGCCATTTGCAACAACATGGATGGAACCAGAGGGTATTATGCTAAGCGAAATAAGTCAATCAGAGAAAGACAATTATCATATGATAGCACTCATATGTGGAATTTAAGAAACAAAAGAGAGGATCATAGGGGAAGAGAAGAAAAAAATAAAACATGACAAAATCAGAGAGGGAGACAAACCATAAGAGACTCTTATCATAAAAAACAAACAGGGTAGCTGGAGGAGAGGAGGGTGGGGGGATGGGGTATGTGAGTGATGGGCATTGAGGGCACATGATGCAATGAGCACTGGGTATTATGTAAGACTGATGAATCACTGAACTCCACCTCTGAAACCAATAATACATTATATGTTAAGTAATTGAATTTAAATAAAATAAAATTAAAAAATAAATAAATAAAAATATGACCTTAAAATTAAATGCACAGTGGGGCGCCTGGGTGGCTCAGTTGGTTAAGCGACTGCCCTCGGCTCAGGTCATGATCCTGGAGTCCCTGGATCGAGTCCCGCATCGGGCTCCCGGCTCGGCAGGGAGTCTGCTTCTCCCTCTGACCCTCCCCTCTCTCATGTGCTCTCTCTCTCTCTCTCTCTCATTCTCTCTGTCTCAAATAAATAAAATCTTTAAAAAAAAAAAATTAAATGCACAGTATTAAATAAGACAGAAAATGCCCACAGTGGGGAGCGGGGGGGAAGGGGGACAGTATGACTACAGTTTTAAGCCAAAAGGGAAAGAGTAAACCTCAAAAACAATCAACAGAGATAAAAAACCTACAAGAAAATTACTATTAAATAATCTACCTTCTTCAGTCTACAACTCATAAAAACTCCTATACCCACAAGTTAGAGAACCTTGAAACTTAAAATGGACTTAGGAAGGGAAGAAAGGTTTAGATGTGACATCAAAAGGACACAAATCATTTAGTCCTTTCTAAAGATTTTCAAACCTAGAAGCTTATCAATTGCTCTTCCTTACCGATTGTTCTTACTTAATACAATGAAGAGCCTGACAATATTCAAATTATACACTTCTGACAGCTCTAATTAGTTCTAAGATAATTCTCCCCTACAGTTAGTTTCCAGAAGCTCATACGTACAGCTTTAATGGTAGCATGCAATCAGGAAAGCAGAAATCACAGGCATTTCAACAAGGATAATTTAATTAAGTGAACTGGTTAGATGTATATTAAAGGCCTGAAAAGACAAAACAGAAACACCGACCTAACACCAAGAAAGAGTTGTCAACCCTAGAGTTTAAGGTAGGAAAGGGAGGAAGTGGGGTTATTAGAACCTACAAGCTCAGAGAAGGGGCCCTGCAGAGGTGGGAGCCAGACCTCTGAGAAGGAAGTGCTGGCCAGTTAGTTCTGCTCTCTCTAATGGAACGTGATGTGGTTGGTTTCGGGGATGTGAAAAAACAGCTACAAACTAGACCCAGGTCCCACTGCCTGAGTAAAAAAAAAGCAAAAGGAAAAAAAAAAAACGGGGTGCCTGGATGGCTCAGTCGGTTAAGCATCTGCCTACGGCTCAGGTCATCATCTCAAGGTCCTGGAATCAAGCCCCGCATCGGGCCCCCTGCTCCGCGGGAAGCCTGCTTCTCCCTTTCCCACTACCTCCTGCTTGTGTTCCCTCTCTCGCTGTGTCTCTCTGTCAAATAAATAAATAAAATCTAAAAAAATTTTAAAAAAAACAAAGCATGCAGTTCAGATAATGATACACATAGAAAACAAAACAAGGGAAAGATCATGTCCCTTCTCACTGTTCAGGCCTTTTAACATTTCCTAATGTCCTCTATTGGCAGAAGGAAGGCAGCAGGCGGGAAACAAATGTGTAGAGCAGGAGTTGGTTGGCATACTGCGACCCAGCTGGCAGCTCATTTTTTGTATGGAGTATGAGGTAAGAATAGTCTATGTTTTTAAGGAGTTGTGGGGAAAAAAAGAATATGCACTAGGGGCCATATGTGGCTTACAAAACCTAAAATATTTACTAAGCTTTATGTGTGTATGTGTCTGTGTGTGAATACACATGCACATACGTATACACTATTAATATATATTATTGCATATTAATGTGTATTGACATATATACATTACTTTACAGAACAAGTTTACCAGCCCCTGGTGTAGAGCCCAAGGCCCAGTATCACAAAGCAGAGTACGGAACTGTGAGTTAGGAGAGGAGTCAACAGCTTCATGACTAACGTGACACCTGATTCTCTTGGTGGGGTACACGAGAAGATCTACTGTTATCATGAGATAATCCTTAATAGGATACTTAAAAGGTTTTATAAGAGGATTCTGGGAACAATGCCACTCACTGAGAATTTAGGAATAGCAGTTCATAGTCTTCTTTCCTATTCAAGAATTTAAGCCCTAAAAAGCAAGAGATTGAAGAGTACTTTAGTTCTCTCCTACTTTCATTCCCATATGCTTTTTCTCATAGACCAGAATTGTCTTTTCTGACTTTGACTCTACTCATTTCATTGTTACTCATACAGGGAACTTTCTGTTAAACTTCCAAAATGGAAAGGACAGTGATCAAAAAATAATGACGGAAAATAATGATAGCTAAAAAGAGATTTGTAAAAAAAAAAAAAAAATTACTTCCCCCAAGGTGAAGCATGAAAAGTGAACATGTACAACACTGACTTTGGTAAGTTAAAGACACACTGTTAATCCTGGAACAATCACTGAAAATACATAAACAAACAAAAAGAGGTATAAGGCAAATCAATAAACGAAATAAAATCAAACATTAAAATTTTTTTTCAATTAACCCAAAGAAGGCAGGAAAAGAGCAACAAAGAAAACACAAGAGATTAAAAAATTAATAGCAAGATGATCAACTTAAACACAACCATGTCAACAACTACATTAAATGAAAATGGACTAAACACCCACAATTAAAAGACAGAGATAGTAATACTACTTAAAAAATAAAACACAAAAAACAAGACTCAACAGTATTTTACAAATACATACAGATGCAGAATTACAGTCCAGAAAGGACCCTACTATATATGCTATCCTCAAGAGACACATTTTAAATGTAAAGAAATAGGCTGAAAGTAAAAGAACTGACAACAAGCTTAAACAAACTACTCTCCCTAAGGAGGAAAATTATAGTTCAGTCCCATTAATGGCAAATATACAGGAAAGGCAGAATGTCCTCTCTGTGAGAAATGTGTTTTATATACAGATTTGTCACTCCATCTTATCTGGTTATCATGCTGGACTAAACTCTCAGACAAAACCGACTCAATTTCCACCAAAGCTCAAGCCGTCCAAGCATTAAAAAGGGTGGAGAGGAAAACCTAAAAGAAACTAAGTGTTTTACTTGCCTTTCTCATTTTTAAAATAAGCAATTACTGAGCTGCAAAGAAGAACTTCCCAGAAGATAACAACTACTACTGTTGTATATCCTCCTTTCTGATGTGCAATTCTGCACATACATGCATTTGCAAAATATAAACTGTGATATGGATAGACAGTTTCTGTAAAGGGAAATAATATGCCTTAAAAGGAAATGATCATATGAGTATATGAAAGGTTATGCCAGGCACACAGGCAAAAGATCCATGACAGACTTCACTTCATTAAACATATATTTTCCTAAGTAATGATTTTCCTGAATTGCCGCTCAGTGATTCAGTGGTGATTACAAGATATTACATGCAAATGAAGTAATCCAACAACGCAAAGCACAAATTAAATGCTATGATAACTAAGATCAAATGACTGATTTTATTTTTCTATGTAATTACCTACTCTTCTTCCTAAACTGGTGAGGGGCTCTCTCTCAAGCCAAGATACTAAATTCAACTATTTTAAAGATGAATTCATGGTCACAATCAGGGAACATCATATAAAGGGAAAAATCACCAAACTAACTGTAACTAAATCAAACAAATAAAATTTTAATTATGCAGTAAGTGCCTGCTCTATGGGAAAATACTCAAGAGTTTAATTTTTTAAAATATTTTTAACCTACATCAAGGTAAATGTGACCTTGAATTACCCTTTTTTAAAAAATTTAAATTCAAATAGCCAATATATAGTACATCATCAGTTCCAGATGCAGAGTTCAATAATTCATCAGCTGCCTATAACACCGAGTGCGCATCATCACATCATGGGCCCTCCTTAATGCCCACCACTCAATTACCCCATTCTCCCACCCTCTTCTGCTCCAGCAACCCTCAGTTTGTTTCCTATAGTTAAGAGTCTCTCATGGTTTTTCTCCCTCTCTGATGACTTCTCATTCAGTTTTCCCTCCCTTCCCTATGATCCTCTGTACTGTTTCTTATATTCTACTTATGAGTGAAACCATATGATAACTGTCTTTCTCAACTGACTTATTTCACATACCCTCCAGTTCCATCCACATAGATGTAAATGCTAGTATTTTCTTTTTTTTTTTTTTAAAGATTTTATTTATTTATTTGAGAGAGAGAATGAGATAGAGAGAGAGCATGAGAGGGGAGAGGGTCAGAGGGAGAAGCAGACTCCCTGCCGAGCAGGGAGCCCGATGCGGGACTCGATCCTGGGACTCCAGGATCATGACCTGAGCCGAAGGCAGTCGCTTAACCAACTGAGCCACCCAGGCGCCCGTATTCATTGTTTCTGATGACCGAGTAATATTCCATTGTGTGTATATACCACATCTTCTTTATCCATTCACCTGTCAATGGACATCTCAGCTCTTTCCACAGTTTGGCTATTGTGGACATTGCTGTTAAAAACACTTTGGGTCACTACACTTGTATCTTTGGGGTAAATACCTAGTATTGCAATTGATGGGTTGTAGGGTAGCTCTATTTTTAACTTCTTGAGGAACCTCCATACAGTTTTCCAGAGTGGCTGTACTAGCTTGCATTCCCACCAACAGTGTAAGAGGGTCCCCCTTTCTCCGCATCCTCACCAACATTTGTTGTTTCCTGATTTGTCAAGAATTACCCTAAGTCTTGCACCTACCATTCTTCTATTCTTCTAAGCTGTCAAATATATTGCTAACACTATAAATTCCTAATTCATATTATAAAGTGCCCCCTACCAAAGGAGAGCCCATAAGCTAACACAGCTATATAAATTTTATAAAAAAAAAAAAGACAACTCTATACAACCACATCAAACCAGTTTTGGTCCCTAGCCCGAAAATCATGTAATACTTGTGATATTTTGTTTTCATAGGTTTCCAAAATGCTTCCAAACAAAGTCCATCCCGTTTAGCAATTCTAGAGTACTGGCTGATACTTAATGTTGCTAGAAAGAGAACAACCCAGGCAACCCAGGTATCAAAGGCCTCTAAGCATAGTAAACCAGCAATTCTAGTATTAGCTAACTAACTTATATGTGGCATGGGCTGCATTCCTGTTCAGCTGCTCCTTTAGAACTTTACCTTGGTTTCAACTTTGCTCAAGTCTTTAATTCATAAAACTAAAAATACCCTCATTAAAACATTCCCCCAAGATCAATTTTTATCTTGAAAAAATATTTTACAGCAGATAATTTATAAGCAACTATGATGGATGGTTTTAATTTTACATTCGTTGAGTTTTTCTTTCAAGATTTTATTTATTTATTTGACAGAGACACAGCGCGAGAAGGAACACAAGCAGGGGGAGTGGGAGAGGGAGAAGCAGGCTTCCCCGCGGAGCAGGGAGCCGGATGTGGGGCTCGATCCCAGGACCCTGGGATCATGACCTGAGCCAAAGGCAGATGCTTAACGACTAAGCCACCCAGGTGCCCCTATCCGTTTTTTAATGCTGATGATATTCATGCTCTAAGAATGAGCTTACCTACCTGATTTGCACACTGAAAGGACAAAGGAAAAGGTAGTTGAAGAGTAGGGGGAAAAAATGCACCCTCACTTTTTCACATATCAGAGTATAAACTCTCTGATTACAGACACAAATTCTAAACAGTTCAACAAAGACTAATATAAAACAGATCAATGGATTAACTGTAACCTGGCAGAGTTTCTGCCTAGATCACGTTATTACTAGGTAAAAGACAAAGGGCTTGGGCCTGACACAAAATAATAAAAGGCCAGTAGGATCCAACACAAAACAAACTTGCCAAAACCAGTGCAGTGTCATTATCAAAAGACCACATGGGGGAGGGAGGGCGCGCCTGGGTGGCTCAGTCGTTAAGTGTCTGCCCTCTGCTCAGGTCATGATCCCAAGGTCCTGGGATGGAGCCCCACATCAGGGCCTGCTTCTCCCGCTCCCACTCCCCCTGCTTGTGTTCCCTCTCTCACTGTGTCTCTGTCAAATAAATAAAATCTTAAAAAAAAAAAAAAAAAGGGCGCCTGGGTGGCTCAGTTGGTTAAGCAACTGCCTTCGGCTCAGGTCATGATCCTGGAGTCCCTGGATCGAGTCCCGCATCGGGCTTCCTGCTCAGCAGAGAGTCTGCTTCTCCCTCTGACCCTCCCTGCTCTCATGTGCTCTCTCTCTCTCTCTCATTCTCTCTGTCTCAAATAAATAAATAAAATCTTTAAAAAAAAAAAAAAAGAATCCCATTGAGGGTAATCTGTTCTAGCTGCAGCTGTAACTCTGCAAATTTGAACCATGGGCCCAAGTATAACTCATCTCTGAATAGGACATTCTATCTAGCACCATCCAGATGAGAGATCAGAGCAAAAGAATCGAAACACAGCTAGAATGGGTTCTTAAAACAACTGTACAGATTTGAACAACTCAAAGGAAACGAAATACTGAAATAAGCCACGAAAGCTTTCAGTAATCTAAATGCCTAATTTTTCCAGTCCCTTTAGGTCATAAGGAGTTACAAGGTGAGGAAAATAAACACAGATTTTTTTAAAAATTCCATCCTTTAAAAAAAATTGTTTTATCTATATTTTTGGGGGCTTAGAAAAAAATGCTATCACCATAAACCCAGGATAAATCGATTAGCTTTCTCTTCTACTTCCAGGCTTCAAACATCAGTGTTCAATAGTTTTAACAAGCCCAGTGATCAGGTATGCCTGTCCATTAATTACCTTCATGTCATAGCCATATGTCTCCCGGATATCTTCATCAGAATCTGTTTCTTCATCATCATAGTCCATCGTTTGTCGAGGGGAAGAAGATACACTGCTCACCACCCGGTTAAAAGCAGATTGCTGGAAACTAGGTAAGTGTCCCTAAACAACAAACAATTCCAAGATGAACAGAGGGACACACTAAATAAACAAGGGTAATGAATGTGCACTTAAGACCACCTAAATGTAATGAACTTGCAAAGTGGCCAACAAAATTCAACAGTTAGTACCGATCAAATTATTCGGTTATGATGCCAAGGTCCATCTCAATGATATTTCCAGGTAATGGTTCACTAAAATGACCTAGGTATATACCCAAAAAAATCCTATAGGTGTATCCAGAAAGATGTTATGGATAACATAGCTGCTGGCAACTTGCTGTTGTTTTCCTAATCAGCTGATAAGATATATTTGATTTACTATTTACACACATAATCCCATGAAATAAAAAAAGAAAAGAAAACCCTAAACTTGCCTGTAAGTCTGGATTAGCAGCTGCTTTCTGGAGTTCTGCACTGATGATCTTCTCAGTCTTTTCTCGAGCTGCCTGCTCCACCATGCGCTGGCTCAACACAGACAGTTTGGCTAGGGCAGAGGACAGTTCATCTGTGGCTAGGGCCTGCCGTGCTCTATCTTGCCAACTCATAGCTCGTTCTGTCAAACACTGCAGGGCCTCTCCTTCAGGCAAACGTACAGGCAACTTCTGAAGGGATACCAGGAGTGAGAGAATAGTCTCTAACCTTGGCCTTCGAGACCGCATACAAAGAGGGCAAAGGAATTTTACTTCTTTAGCCTGCCAGCTAGACCCTTTTTTTTGGGAACCTGATTTAGGAAGGGGAACACAGCTGTTATGGAACCAGTCTTTGCAGAGCTCACACTGTAGCATAAACCCACTGGCTGTCTTGCGGCAAATGCAAAATTTTACTTCTTCTATGCGGTCCACCATTGTCATCTTGGCTAGGTTGGCTGCTCTGAGGGAATGCATGGCTTCAATCTCTTTTTGCTCCCGTTCTTTGAAAACCGCCACCTGTATACAACAAACATTTAATTAAAAAGAGTCACTGCAAAATATTCCAAAAATGCCAAATCCTCAGAGCTGAGGGATCATCTCCACATTGTGCCCTCATTGTAACAAAGTATTGTCCTTAAAAACAAACATTTATCAATCATTTCCTATAATTTGGGTGCAAACATTCCTCATCTGTGAAATGCGCAAAGTGCTACCATATTTGGATAATTTATATCAGTAGGGTACTTTGAACTCTTCTGTAGGGTGCAGTAGAAAGATAATATGCCTTGGAGTCAAGCAACCTGAGCAAAAAGCCTGGTGCTTGTACTTATAAACGGATGATCTGGTGCACAAGTTTTCTGAATCTGTTTTCTGAAAAATGAGGATACCAACCAACCTCATTTTGTTGTTTTGAGGATTAAATAAGATAACACATGAAAGTGCCTAACTTGGTGCCTCACACAAGGTAAACATCCAATAAATATTACTTCCCTATCCCCTTGTAATTCCTTCCCTGGGGGTGACTTCTATACAGTCAATTCTTATTTCTTTCTAAACAGCCTTTCCAACTCATGTAGAAGTAGAATAACAAAGTCTGATGGCCAATTATAACAAGGTTTTATGTAACTCATTTCAAAAAAATAAATAAAAGTAAACAATTTAATTATCAGGAACACTGTCAGTATATTTTCTTTTTCAAACTGTGGTTAACTCTGAAACAATTTTGAAATAATTTCCAGTTCTATTCATCTGGCAAGACTGACTTGTTAGGTAGGCTCGCTAATAAATCATTTCTACTGGCCTCAAAACAGGATCATTTGGGGGCGCCTGGGTGGCTAAGTCAGTTTAGCATCCAGCTCTTGGTTTCAGCTAAGGTTGTGGTCTTGGGGTCAGGGGATTGAACCCCGCATCAGGCTCTCCCTATGTGGAGAGTCAGCTTCCCTCCACTCTATCCCTCTATCCCTCCCTGCCCCGCTCATGCATTTGTGTGCTCTCTCTCAAATAAATACATCTTAAAACAAAACAAAACAAAACAAAACAAAAAACTCCAGGATCATTTGTAGGCAGAAACGTCTGTTATCAAGTGACTTAATGTATGTAATTCCCTACTGTTACATACAGCCCAAACTCATTTTTTATTTCTCTTTACATCCTCAGGCTCCTAGTCATCTTCACACATTCCTCCTCCTCTCCAAAAACACCCATCATTCTATGGGGCGCCTGGGTGGCTCAGACGGTTAAGCATCTGCCTTCAGCTCAGGTCATGATACCAGGGTCCTGGGATCGAGTCCCGCATCGGGCTCCCTGCTCCTTGGGAGCCTGCTTCTCCCTCTGCCTCTCTCTCTCTCTCTCTCTGTCTCTCATGAATAAATAAATAAAATCTTTAAAAAAAAAAAACAAAAACACCCATCATTCTAATGAGTTACAAGTATTTTCCTGAGCACTCACTATATTATGAATGAGACTAAGAAGAGAAAGGAGATATTTTAAATAGCAGCTGGTATCATTAAATGGATATAATTCCTTTTAAAAGCACAAGATTAAATGTCACAAAATGCTATTAAATTCTAACCCAGTAATCACATTCCTAAGAGCCAAGTATAGGAAAATAATTTGAAAAAAGTTAAAGACTTTATAAAGAAGTTCACTTTATATTATCCATAATAGCAAACATTAGTAATAATCAAAATATTTGATGTATCAGAAAAGTGTTAAATTATGGACAATTTGATGGACTATTAGACAACTATTAAAACAATAATAAAGAACAGAGATATGGAGGGGTGCCTGGGTGGCTCAGTTGGTTGGGCAACTGCCTTCGGCTCAGCTCATGATCCTGGAGTCCCGGGATCAAGTCCCACATCAGCCTCCCTGCTCGGCAGGGAGTCTGCTTCTCCCCCTGACCCTCCTCCCTCTCATGCTCTCTGTCTCTCATTCTCTCTCTCGCAAATAAAAAAAAAAAAAAGAAAAAAAAATCTTAAAAAAAAAAAGAACAGAGATATGGAAAAGACAATTTTAGGGAGAGAGCAGACTAATAAACTTCGATTACAAATATAAAAAATGAAATATTTTACTATAAAGCCAAAGATAAAGTATACACAAATAAAAATAGTTAAGAACATTAAAACCAGTGCATCTGCTAATATCTTCATAGAATTTTGTATTCACGAAGCAGACTCAAAATGCATTACATAATTTCTTACCACCATAGCTGTATCTCTGGTTTCCTCCAATCCTTCCTCCAAATCACTCAGAGGCTCAAGGTCCAGATCCTTTTCTTTTTCTTTTTCTATTAGTTCTTTTACTTTTTTCCTTCTGTTTTTACCACTCCCGTATATACCAATGTCAGTCCGGGGACTTAGCACCTACAAAAACAAAACCAAACACTGAGTTCTAGTTTTTAAAAAAAATCTGAAAACTGAAAACAATAAAAAGGAACCATTTACTGACCACTCATCTTGTCTGAGGCACTTTCTTATGTACCTTCTACACACACCTAACTCAATCCTTAGAACAACCCTCTGTAGTAGGTGTATCATCTGTATTTCACAAACCGGGGAAACTAAGGCTCAGAAAGAAAACAACTTACCCAAGGACACAGGCTTAGCAATTAGAGAGCCAGTGCTCAACATGAAAGTACCTTACTCCAAAGCCTATGCCCTTTAACTATTAGGATGTTCAACTGCTCAAGATGAAAAGGTTAACGAGTATAAAATATTTCAAGGACAGAATCCATTAGTAACAGAGATAAGATCCAGGCTGATTGCTTTATCTGGACACAGTACAAGATGAACTGGAGATAAGTCTGCCTAAGGCTCCAGATTTCCAGTCAACATTTGATATCACTTAACAGGAATCACTTATATAACCATGACCAGATAAACTGAAAACAACCCTCACCAATAAAACCCCTACCTACAGGTATTAAAATACCAACTGTTCTTTACCTGCAACAAAGTATGGCTAGAATTCTTCTTAAGAAAGGTCCGCCCGGTCCGTTCTCTCCATGCCCGTGCAGCTGCTACTTGTGATTCTACCTGGGGCAACGCATCCAGGCGCACAGGGATAGGTCGCCCTTTAGCAGATAAGCTCTCCAGCTGCTCCAAGTAAGCATAGTTGCTGCCACTCTGAAAAACAAAAGTGCATTCTCACACAACCTGCACTTTCTTATGGAGTCTATCTAGTGATATTGGTTGGAAGATCTTACAAAGAGTTTAGTGTTAAGTTTTTTATTGTTATTCTTTAAACCTAATTGTATCTCTTGAACTAATAGAGCTTCCAATGTCCTTTTTAAAAATTCTGTAAGTTCATACCGTCAAAGATTTTTATTAATTAATGAGGGAACCAGTTAAGATGTAAAAATCAGTTCAAAGAACAGACATATAGGGACACCTGGGTGGCTCAGTCGGTTGAGTGTCCGACTCTTGGTTTCAGCTCAGGTCATGATCTCCTGGTTAGGAGATCAAGCCCAGTGTCCAGCTCCCTGCTCAGCGGGGAGTCTGCTTCCCTTCTCCTACTCCCCTGTCCCTCTCCTGTTGACACACACACTCTCTCTAAAATGAATAAATAAATCTTTAAAAAAAAAAAAAGAACAGAACGAACAGACATATATAAATACAATCAGGAATGAGAAGAAATTTGCTAATAGATGGAAACAGATATTTAATATCATATGGGACAATTCAATCATCTTTTCTACCATGGGGAAATAAATTGTTCTGTTATAGATAAATTTAATTTTCTATGGACATAATTCATTTGTATTACTATCATTTTTAAATAATTGACAGAGTTGTAAAATAGCCTGGTCAAAGAAAATCTACAGCACACACTCCCAGAATAAGATAATCCTGGAGAGTTCACCAGACAACATCCAGTACTCCACAAAAAGGACATCCGGTAATTTCTTTTGCCTATTTCAAAGTCTTTCAAACTTTTCCAACAATTACAAAGCAGTATTTTAGTTCTGATAACCACCTCCATTTTATGTTACATAAATACAGATGAGAACAGATATTTGCCTAAGTCACAATGGTTCAGTATTTCCATGTAATGAAGTCTTTAGAACTATTATTGCTGTAAATTTACTAAATAATTATATGAGGTGAAAGGGTTAGTAAGTAATCCATTCCAGGGATTTGGCAAGAACACCTGAAGTGGGTTGGCAGCCAACAGGCAGTAATTCAGATAGCTTAGATTGGATGAATCTCCAGGCAGACAGAACACATAACCATTCCTGTAAGAAACTGTATATATGTCCTTAACATTCACTGTTACTCAGAAGCCCTGAATGAGGGAAAGGCATAGTTACATGCTATAAACAGACATTCCAATAAAAGGTTATTTCCTATCTTAACTGACTCATTTGCCTATAAATTCATTTTGAAAGTTACACTGAAACATGTGGAAAAACAAAGGCAAAAAACTTAAATGATTTTTTTTTTAAAGTAGGCTCCACACCCAATGTGGGGCTTGAACTCACAACCCCGAGATCAAGGGTCACACACTCCACTGAGTGAGCCAACCAGGCACCCCAACTTAAGTGAAATTTTAATAATAATAATAATAATGGGAAGGTTCTAGCCCTAAGAGATATTATAATGGTATAATTAAATCACTGTGGTATTAGGATTAAAGAATAGTGAAATGGAAGAGAAAAGAAAACTCAAATAGATACAGTTGAGAAATACCATGTTTACTGCTACTCCTTCTTGTACCCAACTATAGCTGTTTGACTAGGAAAGACCTCCTGGCTAAGACTTGACTTACCCATTTTAAAGAAGAGTCTGCCTGTCAACAGAAGTTATCCACTTACTTAGAAACTACAAGTCAGTCTCCCCACTGAAGGGAGGGCTTGGCAGAGGGCAAGTCCTTCAAAATTATAGAGGAAACACAAGACAGCCATCTATACTTGTAGACTTGGTCTTGTGGTCATAAATTAACAGCCAACCAAGGGTTATCAAACATTTGAGGACAACCAACCTCCTCAAATAGGTTAAAGATGAAACAGAGGAGCTGTCCTGATGAAAACAGAGATAATTTTTTTTTCTTCCAATATTTTATTTAAATTCAAGTTAGTTAACATATAGTGTAGTACTGGTTTCAGGAACAGAATTTAGTGATTTATCACTTAGAGAGAACACCCAGTGCTCATCACAACCCATGCCTTCCCTAATGCCCATCATTCATGTAGCCTATCCTCCCACCCACCCACCACCCCTCCAGCAATCCTCAGTTTGGAAAACAGAGATAATTTTTTAAATAGCATAGAAAAATGCAGCTAAGAAGCTCCCAGAAAAAGTTAACTGAAAACAAACTAAAACAGAAGTCATTAGAACTTGACACCTAGAATATGTTCTTCTCCTGGGACAGCCGAGAGTTGGTTTCATTTTCTTTGGATATAGTTCTACAATAAAGAGTATGTACATCCTCAATACTGAAAATGCTGCAAGGTTTTTATAATTCAGGAGGAATATTATATATTGTTTTAAATTAAAATATATAATACATGTCTTTCTGAGGGCCAGGTACTGTCTTTATACCCTTCCCTCACATTTCTACTCCCAAACAACTAGAATACCTACCATGAATGTTACGGTGTTCAGTAATATTAATTTCATTTTCTTTTTTCTGCCTCTTATTTTAAAATTTATTTGCACACATGGCAAAGATTCAAAGAATACAGCAGGGAATAAACTCCCTATTGCTAAGAGTTAAATAAATAGCTAATTCTGTCATCTTTCAAGCAGGGAGTCAACAGAAACAAGTAACATTTAAATAGGTAATATTTATTTTGAATGACAAAATCAGATGGAAGAACAATTGAATTTTAAGCACTATTATTTTATTATGGTTATTCTACTCTAAAGAACTAAAGGCTTAAAGGATTCATCTGTAAGAGAGCATCACCCAAATGGTGGGATAATTCAAGAGGCTCCTTACCTGAATAGCTTCCACTTTAGCCGTCCATTCTCGAGCCTTTTGTAATGCTTCTTTCAGGGACAACACATTGGGTAGAAAGGCTGGAATGTTCTTGGCTTCATTCACTATGCTTTCTAAACTTGCCACGCTGTGCCGTGGTCTTAAAAAAAAAACCACAAAGATAGGGCAGATGCATGAGGAAAAGTCAAACTGCTACCAACATTTAAATAACATTTTAGAATGTGCAGAGAAATTTCATATACATGATTTCATTTAGTTCTTACCACATCCTATAAGGGAAGCAAAGCAGCTATTACCTTTATTCCCAATTTACAAATAAGAAAACCTTAACTCAAAAAACAATTATTTTCCCAAAGTCATTTAATACAGTGAATGGCACAGCTGAAATACTGATTCAGAATGAGTCTCAGATCCCTTGCTCTTTTCACTAAACTGGATCTTTTTTAGTTCTCCACAATATCTGAAATTGTCAGAGACGCATATCAGCAGTGTGGAAAGCAACAGTCTAGAAGTCCAGTAATGTTGACCATGTACATTTAATTCAACTACATTCAATACCACCCAGTTAAAAGATGAGTAAGATAGACCTTATCCTCAACAAATCAGAATACAAGATAAGAATTAAACTTGTACTGGGGACGAAGAGCAAATCACTACAGGCTCACCACTATGGGAAGTTGTAATTAATTCTGCTTAGAGGAGCTGAGATGGGCTTTGAGCTGAGGCTTAAGGAAGTGTGACTTTCTCAAGTGAAAGGTTAAGGGAAAAAACCCAGGAATATAATGAACAAAGACATGAAGAAACATTTAAAAATAAGTTAGAGGTCCTGGAGCACCCGGCTGGCTCAGTGGGTAGAGCATGTAGCTCTTGATCTCAGGGTCAAGAGTTCGAGCCCCACTTGAGGGTAGAGATTATATATATGTTTTTAATTTAAAAATTAAATCTTAAAAAAAATAAGTTAGTAGTCCAGTTTAAGATGGGAGCTGGTGTGAGGACGGGGGTGAGGTAGGAGTTAAGAGCAAGAAGTGGGGAATTTGACAGGAAAGAAAGATGCAAAAAGATGTAAGAGGTCTCGAGAGCCATGAATTTTGCTATGGAAGCAATAGGAAGCTACTGAGGGTGGGAACAGTTTCATTATCCATGAATCCTACTATGTGCTAGGCATTGTGCTAGGTCCTGGAGATTATTAATACACAGGAGTAATAGAGCCCTTGCCTCATGAAACGTTTTAATCTTGTGGTGGTAGAGGGGGATTATTCATAGCACTGTAAGATGCTATCAAAATGTACAGCAGGAGGACCCTAAACTAACTCGGCAGGTGATGGAAGGATTCCCAGAAGTGACATCTAAGCTTTCTTATCCTTTTTGAATAGGAGTGAGTCAGGAAAGCTAGGACCAGAGGCTGGGTAGTGGTACACCATAGGGGATGGGCAGAAGGGAAGAGTGTTCCAGAGGAGAATAAAATGAGCATGTGCGAAGGTCCAGAGACAAGAAAGAACATGGCATATCTGAGGAAAGCAGGGGGATCACTATGCTTGGAACACAGAATGCAAAGGAAGAATGGCAAGGGATGAGGCTAGATCCTTAAGCCCCTGCTTAAGGGCTAGATTACAGATAGTCTTATGAATCAGATGAAGGACTCTAAATGTCATCCCCAGGGGAATGGGAAACAGTGAAGGGCTCTAACCAAGGGAGTGAAAAAGCCACACCTGTATTTTAGGAAAATACTAGTTGCAGTGTAGAGAATGTGAGAGAGCAGGGTGAGGTCACAGAGCCTATGATTTAGGCCAACTATGACAGCACCCCAAAGAAGAATGGAAGTGATAAACATTGAGGGAGTATAATCAACATGACTTGGTAGTTAACTGAGGCTGAAGGTATGTAAATGGAAAGGAAAGGTCAAAGTTAATTTCCAAAGCTTGTTTAAAGGAGGGAAAAAAAAAAAAGGTGTAATTCAAAGAAAAAAGGAGGAAAGGAAGAGATGATGGGAAAGAGTTAATGAATCCAATTCTGGATATGGGGAATTTGAGGTACCAACAGGACATCCAATGGAACTACCTAATAGGCAGATGGTATCTATGAAAACTATCTATGTTATAGATGAGAATTTGGAGTTAATCAGTATAAAGATGGCCAATGGAGCCACAAAATATATTAGATGAAATTTCCAGGGAGATGTACAGAGTGAAAAAAGAAGTGGTCTAGGCCAGAATCTTGAGGAAAAGCATTATTTGAGAGGCAGGGAGAGAAGGCCAAAAGCAAAGAAGGAGGGTATTGAGAAAATAGTGGTCATGTGTTAACCAATGCTAAGAGGCCAAGAACATTGTAGATGTGTTTCAGAAAGATAACTTTGACAGAAGTTAGAAAACAAAAGATTCTACTTTCCACTATCCCCACCAAACCCTATCACCCTCTGTATCTTCACTAATTTTATTTTCTTCATGACACTTAATTATCTGAAATTCATTCATCCATTCGTTCATTCACTTATTCACCTGTCTCTCCCCACTAGAATGTTGGCTCTATCTTACAGCAGGAACTTTGTGGGTCTTTTCCCCTACTATCTCTATTGCACTTAGAAATAGTGCCTGGCATGTAGTAGGTACTCCATAAATACTGAATTGCAAAGATTAAGGGAAAATACAAGAGCACCATAACTAGGTCAGTGACAATGGAATTGAAAAAGATAGATATGAAAGACATTTTGGAGGCAAACTCATTAAAACTTAGTGATTGATTAAACGTGGAAAAATGAGAGAAAGTTAAGTTTTCAAATATTACTACCAATAAAATCTCATTCTGTAGACTACAATAAGTTGCATCAGGTATATCAAATCATGGTTTTGCATTCCAAAGTTATTTATCTTTTCCCATTTAATATGCTCCTGGAACTGTCATGAATCTGAAGACACAGAGTAATTTGACGGTTTCAAACAAAAAGCTATGGATACATTTTAGTATGTATTCTCCATGACAACTAGAGAGCAAAATATCCAGCAAAAATATATGCAGCCTTTTCTTGATTAAACAGAACTGTGTTCACTGAATTCTAAGGCTTCTATCAACTGAACCAAAATAAGTGGCTGGCAAAGCAGTTAAGTACATGAAGACTGTGGAATGAAGTGGAAAAGGCTTTAAATTTGAGCTGTGTTGGGGCACCTGGGTGGCTCAGTCGGTTAAGTGTCTGCCTTCGGCTCAGGTCATGATCCCAGGGCCCTGGGATTGAGCCCCACATCGGGCTCCCTGCTCAGTGGGAAGCCTGCTTCTCCCTCTCCCATTCCTCCTGCTTGTGTTCCCTCTCTCGCTGTGTCTCTATCAAATAAATAAATAAAGTCTTAAAAAAAAAAAAGTTGTAAGACATCCAGAGAGACACTTATAAATAAATAAATAAATCGATCAATCAATCTGACCTGTGTATTTAATAACTATGGACTCTAAGTATGCCCGGTTCTTCATCCTCACAAGAGAAGTTATAGATCTTAATTTTAGCTAAATAAATACTTTCATAGAGAACATTACAGTCTAATTAGTTGATATACAGTCAAGTATGGTGAATGCTTTACTGAAATCTCATAAATCCAATGGGAGTGCCAATGCTAATGCAACTGCGTAATGTTCTCCTTTCTTGCTTCTTCTTTCCCACTACTTTCCTACATAAATCCTCCACTCCAAGAAAGCCCATTTAACTTTTGTCACCTAACCCTATATACATATTCCTTAAACTTAGCTTGATCTTTCTCTCACACCCCTTCCACTTCAATCTCACTCATGCTTCAAAGCTCTACCTAAAGTTCTTTCTTTTCTCTCAAGCTTCTCTTCTGACCACCAAAGGTAACAATGACCTCCTCTCCTCTGAATTCCTATAGTATTTTTCTGTACCTTTCAGTTAATAATAACATATTGCAGTGAGCTTTACATTTCTTAGCTCTGAACTATAGTATAGGTAATGGGAAGGTTCTAAACAAAATACTACTTTGTTTCACTTAAAGTACCTAGCAAAGTACTCTGCACTAGCATGCACACAATATCTGAAACTGTTTATATGCAGACCTATTTGATAATTTAGTGGCTGGTCAGGGAAGGCATAAAACATCTAACTAAATATTTAATGAAACAGAGCCTTATGTTCCTCCTTCGGTTCTACCCTTAGTTATTAAAGAGGCAACAGTCACCAATATATGTGTTCACCTTGCCTGTAGGCAGACCTTAGCCTTTTCTTCCCATCGCTCAGAGACTGTAAGGAGCTCCTGTAGTTCAGCCATTGCCTTCTCCACAGCATGGTGGGGTGCCAATCCCACCCCAGAGTCTATCAGTTTCTTCATGACATCCAAAGTGACCTGTTGTGGATCTGACAGGGTCAGTCTTACTTCATCCAACCATCGAGCCTGCTGTAGCTCTTGCTTTAGTCGGGCCAGTTCAGGTAGCTCCACATAGAGACTAGAGCCCATGTCTATCAACATTTGGAGTTTGGAAGAATCTGGGGTTTCATCCATCATGGCCTCTTGAGCACGTTCATGAAACTCTTCCACATCATCCAGCAGATTCTGAAAAAGTCAAAAGAATAAAAATAAAAAACAAATTTAAAAGATATAAAATGAGTTTGGAATAGACACAGTTCAGGCAAACTATCAGATTCTAGACTATCTAATAATCTCACCATTATAGCACCAGATATGATAGTTAAGAACATAATTATGCTTCTCTGTAATTACTTACACAGACTTACTTTTAAAACATGATTAATTCATTCAAACAATATTTAATGACTACGGACTTAGATGCAGCCACTGTTATAAGCACTAAAACATACAAAGTCCTTATCTTCAAGGAATGTATTTTATTTTTTTTAAGTTTGTGGGGTTTTTTTTGACAGAGACACAGTGAGAGAGGGAACACAAGCAGGGGGAGAGGGAGAGGGAGAAGCAGGCTTCCCGCCGAAGAAGGCTTCCTACTGAGCAGGGAGCCCAATGTGGGACTCGATCCCAGGAACCTGAGATCATGACCTGAGCCAAAGGCAGACGCTTAATGACTGAGCCACCCAGGCGCCCAAGGAACATATTTTAATATAAATAGTCAGACATTGAATATATAAATAAAATGTTCCAGTTAGTTTTAAGTGCTGTGAAAATAAAACAGGGCAACACAATAGAGAATGACCAGAGGGGGTAGGCATATTACTTTGCAGTGGTGGTCACAGAAAACAGATGAACTGAAACTAAAACGAGGAGTTAGAGGTGGGAACTATATGAAGATCTGGAGGAAGAGCAGTTCAGGCACAGCGGATAGTAACTGCAAAAGCCTTTACAGAGAAATATCTTGCTCTAAAGTGGATGATGGGGAGCAAAGTGGAGAAATGCAGTTAAAAAATGAGCAGAGGTCAGATTACATAGTGCCACAAAGATCAGAAGTTTAGATTTCATTCTAATGGCTTTGGGGAAGCACTAGAGAATTTTAACCACACAGAAGTGATATGATTTGATTTATAATTTACATGGTCACACTGGCTACCGAATAAAAATAAACTGTCAGGGACAAGAGAAGAAGAAGGGAGACGAGGTAAGAGGCTATTACAGTGATCTCAGGGGCAGAACTTAGAGGTTCGGAGCACAGTGTAAGCAATGGAGATGATGGCAAATGGTTCACTTTGGGAAACATTCTGAAGATAACGGTAGCACTTGTTTAGAGACTGGATATGGGGTATAAGGGAAATAAAGGAATCAAGGATTTCTGATTCATTAAAAGGCTTTTAAGATGCCTTTTAGCCTGCCATGGGATACACAGAGTATGCAACTGTACGTACAAGCCTGTAGGAGAGAGCAAAGGCATTGAGAGTTGATGATCTGGGGATCAACAGGATACAGGTGATACTTAATGTCACTAAACCAATAAGATGTCAGGACCTAAAGAAAGAGCTGAGACTCTTAATACACTCCAACACTTAGAAGTCAAGCCAAGGAGAAAACAAACAGCCAAGAATACCGAAGAGAAGGAGCGGTGAATGAATGAAGAAAACTAGAGCATGTGATGTCACAGATGTTCAGAGAATAAAGTCTCTCAGGAAGAAAGAGCAGTCAACTACCAAAATGCTTCTACGACATGGAATAACAGCAGAAACACAACCGATACTAGATTTCACAAGCTGACAACCTTTTTTTTTTCTTAAAGATTTTATTTCTTTCTTTTGACAGAGAGAGAGTGAACACACAAGCAGGGGGAGTGGCAGGCAGAGAGAAAGGGAGAAACAGGCTCCCCACTGAGCAGGGAGGTTGGGTGATGTGGGACTCAATCCCAGGATCCTGGGATCATGACCTGTGCCAAAGGCAGACGCTTAGCCGATTGAGCCACCCAGCCACCTCAAGCTGATAACCTTGATAAAAACCATTTTAGATACCCTGCCCATGGCCAAATCACAAAACACAGAGGATTAAAACTATGCTGATTAATATATTTGATAGACACTTTTTGAGACTGTTGTACAAATTCAAGAAACCATCAGGGATCTAGTAATTTCAGAGCTCACATTTTTAAAAGCTCATGAACTAATAACTTACTGATACATTCAGGTTCTTTTAACTATTTTCTTGCATTTCAATTATATCTATGCTAAATGGGGATTCTGATCTAGATTAATGCAGAAAAAAATTCTAAACTAACTACCCTTGGTTCCAGAACTTTAAAAGGAGAATTAAAGGCTAAGAATGAAACCAGGGGATTCTTACTGCCTACTGAAAAACTTCAAACAGCAGCACTTATGTGACAAACAAACAGAATAAAAAGCTAGTCTAGACACACTGTTTACCCAAAGCAGAAACCCATACTACAAAGGATATTACCCAAGAAAAGAATGTAATACTCCACCTTTACTTGTCGAGCTTGGCTGATGACACATGGAAGACTAAAAAGTTGTTGGACAAAGGCCTTCAATTCTTCCACTGTCAGTTTGGTCCGAGTCCTCCCACTATCTGGGCTCTGCCTGATGTGAAATAATATTGAGACATAAGTAAGAAAAATCCATAGTCATCTGATATCAAAGGGGCTTCTAGTCTCTCTAGAATTCTAACCCAAGCAATCCCAGAATATGAGTGTTTGAGAGGTTCCACTGTAATGGTGATCACTTCCAAATTAGGTTTTTACCTCATTAGTTAATGACTCAAAGATTCAACTCTCCAAGTTATAGTTCCTCCAATCTTATAAGTATTGAGCATTTTAAACAGTCAATAAATTCCTCAGAGTAAAATAGTATGTTTGTTAATAGAACTAAATCTTCTACCTCAAAAAGCTTAAAATGTGGAACAAGGGCCTTTAACTTGGCTGGGGGCTAATAAGCCCCTCTGAAACGGATTCAGAATTGTATATATATGTGCATTTTTCTAAGAAAAGGGTCCCTACACTTTTGCCAGATTCTTCAAGGGGGTTACTGACCCAATGACAGGTGAAAATTCCCTGATCAATGCTTCAAAGAAAGGTTTTCTAATCAAATGTACAAATAAAAAACGTACAAAGTAATTTAAAACCCAATGTGAAGGGCCACAGCAAAAGCCGTTCAGATACCAGGAAATTGTTGGCATGAATACGAAACAATACCACAGAAAATTTAACACATGTGAATTCCATTAAATTAAGGGCACATACTTCTACACGTAATAACACAGCCTCTCCAGCATCCCTCAAGGTTACTCTTTGCTGCCACCTGCCTTCAGCGTGTAGTATCATTTATTTATTTACAAATATTTATTGCACATCCAGTATGTGCCAGATACTGTTCTAAGCACAAGAAATAGAGCAACGAGAAAAGGATAAAAAAATCTCCAACATTCTAGTCTAGCAGGTGTCTAGTGGGACTGGGAAAGAAAGGAGGAGATAATAAATAAATCAGTATGTCAGGAAGTGACAGGGCTAGGAGAAAAACAGAGCAGGAAAGAGGAATAAAAAGGCTGCAATTTTATAAAGGGTTGTCAGAGAAGGCCTCTTCAAGAATGTGTCAGCTATCCGAAAAAGACCTGAAAGAAGTGAGGGAACAAGCCATCTAGATATCAGGGAAGAGCACTCAAAGAGCGAAGAAGTAAGAAGGCCCTAAGCAGAACCATGCCTGCCATGTATGAAAAGCACAAAGGGGAAGAGGACTGCAGAGTGGAGCAAGAAAGAAGGGACAGTAGTAGGAGAGAAGACCGGGACATGATTGGAGGGAGGGTGGGAGGGGAATGGCCATGACAAGAGCTCAAAGATAATATAGGGAGGGGCCAGCAAATAAACAAAACCAAAAAACCCACAGGAAACCACTGGAGAACTCTCCTTAGTCTTACCTGTGCTTCTGCTTTTTGCTCAGAAGCAGCTGAGCCACAGAAGCGCAAGTCTCAGCTTCTTTCACAGCATCTCTGAGTTTTCTAAAGAGATCATTCTCTGGGTATTTCCTATCCTCAGCATCTTCCAGCATTACTCGTAATTCAATCAAATCTGTAAAAACAAAGCTATATACTATGACCACAGACATAAAAAGTCATTTAAAAATACTCACCAACCTCTCTCAAGTTAGTCATCAATCTATTAGTGGAAACACTGCAGCTCTAAAAATCTCACCACTGCAATAAAAGCTTAAGAGCAGGTGCTCATTCCTAATCCTTACGGACAATTTCTCTCCAGGAAGGTAATTCCTTTTTCTTAATTAACCTTCAGTGGCAGTCCACTGGTAATAATGGCTCCCCAAAATACGAATCTACTGCCAAGTTAGCTATCTGTCCCATTTTATATTAACTCTTTATGTAAAAGAGAATTCTCAAATAGAAAACTAAATCTATAGTCAGTCAACCAACCCATTAGTTGCAAATCACATATGAAGCCTACAATTTTTCCTTAATGGAGGAAAAGCACATAAAACAAAACAAAGCCTCTTTCAATGTGACAATAATTTCAGTGTATGCATACAAAAGGAGGAAACTTAACCTTTCTTGTGGTTGAAGTTGGCAGATAATGCTTCTGTAACACGGCTGACCCACGTGTCATAGGATTGTGCCCTGACCTTCACACCATACAGAAGAGAAGGGAGGTCCTCTAATGGGTAACGGTATCTAAAAACAAAGAAAAACAAACAAAAAACACAGAAATTTAAAACTTTGCAAAAAACCAACAACTTGAAATAAATTTTAAGTACAATCAGCTTAATACAACGACCAAGGAAATGGGGTCTTAAATCAAAGCCACCCACAGAGTTTTAATGCAGGGAGAGACAGGGAACATGTGAAATCAATTGATTAAAAAAAACTAACATTTGTTGTCAAGTTTAGGGCCAACTTTAAAGGACTCGTCCTCGGCAGGGAGGCAGAGAGACAAGGAAAAGTTACCAGTGCACACATGGGGAAGGGGAATTACAAAGAACAGTGCATTTGGTTTTAAAAGAAGTAACAAGTTTTACAAGAAACGTAAGGATACCTAAGACATTTCTTCTGCATCGGGCAGGGGCACAGATCATTTGGATGGTAGAGACACACAAGGCGCTCAGGATTACAGGAACATGTGAGAGCAGAGAGAAAACATGTGGTTCTGCACGCTGAACACTGTCGCTCATCATCAGGAACAAGTTCAAATACCTCTTCTTCTGACATTAGGACACCCTGAAATACAATTCACATCACTACATCAAGTCTTTCTAGGCTCTCAAGCATCAAAGAACTTAAAGTTATTAAATTTTTTTCTACAGGTAAATCTGACTTAAGATATATACACGGGAGGTAAAATAACACATCAAAACACTTTCTAAAATTAATCATTCTTAATTTTTTTAAAGTGGGAAAGACTAAACCTTGGTGTGGAAGAATACACATTTGACTGAAACAACTATTTTTTAAATGCAAGGAACTTACTACTACAAATGTCAAAGCAGTCATTGTTGAGGGGAGGGAGGGAAATTGTAATTGGGAGGTACTTTTGGGGTGGCTAACAAAGTTCTATTTCTTGACCAGAATTGTGATGACAACAAAGTTTACTATATAACAATTCATGAAGCTATATATTGTTTCATATGATTTTGTCTTCTCCTTAAAACAAGAAAAAAATTAAAAAAATTTTTTTGTCCCAGGGATAATACACCCCTGAATCCTGAATAGATATATTAGTTATCAAAGATCCAAAAATAACACTAATAAATACAGATGCAAAGATAAAGTAGTAAAAATTAAACTATGCAAATCAAAATAGAATCTACTTCAGCAAGACATCAAAAAGAAGGTTAATTAAATTCAATCTGCCAGCTTAGTAAGAGCATTTGAGTGCATTTTATAAAGACTTCCATTTAATACACAAGAAAGCAAACTTTTTTCACTTACCCAAGGTAAAACCCCGATAATTTATTCACTGGCAGACACAATTCAATTCTTGCAACACAGATTTTGTTTTTGATACTGGTTTTAATCTACATGTCTCTTAACTATGCTCTCATAGCTTCCCATTTCTCATATTAGCATTTAATATTTGCTTTAAAATTTATTTCATGTAAAAATGGTTCCAAAATGCACTGCAGGTATTTCTTAGCTTACAAGAATTTACACAGTGTCAGAACAGCTGGCAAACAGGACATTAATACATCAAGAGATCTGGGGCACCTGGATGGCTCAGTCGGTTAAATCGGCGTGGGATTCTCCCTCTCTCTCTGCCCCTCCCCCCCACGCTCGCTTTCTTTCTTTCTTTCTCTCTCTCTCTCTTTCGGTCTCAAATAAAATTTTACACCAAATCCTATATGCTTCAGGAACCCCTAGCCCTAGAAGATACTCTGCAAAAAACTTAGTCTACGGGGAAATGCTATGTATTACTGTATCCCCCACAATTTAAGAGATTATCAATGAACACCAGCACATCATAGAAGTTTTACAGTAAAGAATCATTTATTTCTTTATCCCCCGTTGATTTTTTTCTTAATCTACCATGTCCTAAGCTTTGCTATCACAGAACAATTTTTCCTTGTAATGCTTTCTAACATTACACAGCTCAGAAAATTATAAATTATTAGGAGAAAGTGGAGAGAAGAAAAAAGAGATACAAATTAAAAGGCTGTTTGAAAAAACCAAGGTGAGAAAATTAAGGAATGGAACCAAACAGTAGCAGTAAAGAAAAAAAAGGGGGGGGAGTAGAAGTGATAAGAGACATTGCAAAATAAACAAATAAAAACTTCAAACCAGATAGCAGATGACTATCAAAGAGACAGATGAGTCAAGGATCACATTAAGTTTTTAAATAATTATCCTGATATTTACCAGCAATTAATAAAGTGGTTTGTGAAAGGAAGATGGAGAGGAGATGATATTCTATCTCAGATGCTGAAAGTGAGATTACAAAAAGCTAAATAGAAATGTACAGTAATCCCAAGGAGACCCGATTACAAATGGGTGACGGGACATGACACGTCTTTCAGAGTGACAATAATTCCTGTGTTTGCACAAACTAGGAGGAAATATCAAGACCTGAGAAATGAAACCACAACGTAATAGCTGAAAGAGAGGTAAAATCCTAAGAAAGGCTAAGAACTCCTTGAAAAGTAGCACAAAAGACAAACAATAAAACATCAAAGGCTGCACCCTGCAAACACTGGCAATTGAGGAAGATGAGGAAAATGATTAAAAGTGACTGGTAAGGGGCGCCTTGGTGGCTCACTTGGTTGAGAGGCCGACTCTTGGTTTCAACTCAGGTCATGATCTCAGGGTCCTGGGATGCAGCCCCAAGTCAGGCTCCATGCTCAGCAGGGAGTCCGCTTGTGGAGTCCCTCTCTCCCTCTCCCTGTCCCTCCCCCAGCTCGCTCGTTCTCTCTCTCTCTCTTTAAAATAAATAAATAAATAAATCTTTTATTAAAAAGTGACTGGCAAGTATTATCAGATGCTGAAGAAACAGGAGAGCGAGTGTTAGGAAAAGGAACAAAGAAGCAAAACACAGTGCAACAAAGAGGTCATGGGATAAAAGACAAAGAACAACTACACTTGGCAATAAAGTCACCAGCAAATTCTGAGTTTCAGAATGACAGTGACAATTAAGGGATAAAAAGGAAATAAGGGCAGTGACCACAGAAAAACCACTCAAGAAGTCTTCTGGAAGGAAAAAAATGAAAAATTTTTCAAGACAGGAAAGACAATATGCAAAGAAAGGGTAGAGATTAGCGTCTCAAGGGCACAAGAAGTTTATAGGAAAAGAGTCCCTAGAGAAATGTGATCAAAGGATAAATAAAATGATCAAGAGAGGTGATATTCAAATTATTGTACAAAAAGGAAAAACAATGCCCCATTAATAACACAAGTTAAACCCGAAATGAGACTATACCACAAAACTGACTTCATGAGTCTCTACCAATGTACAAGCAGACCTGGAGATATTGCGGGTTTGGTTCCAGACCACAACAATAAAACGAATATCATAATAAAACAAGTCCAATGAACTTCCTGGTTTCTCAGCACATATAAAAGTTCTATTTCCCCTATACTGTAGCCTATTAAATGTGCAATAGTATTATGTCTAAAAAAGCAATATATATACCTTAATTAAAAAATATTGCTAAAAAATGCTCAACATCATCTGAGATTTTCACTGGTGGAGGGTCTTGTCTCCATGTTTATCACGCTGCTGACTGATCAGGGTGCTGGTTGCTGAAGGCTGGGGTGGCTGTGGCAATTTCTTAAAATAAAACAATGGAGTCTGGGGCACCTGGGTGGCTCTGTTGGTAGAGCACATGACTCTTGATCTCAGAGCCATGAGTTCAAGCTCCACAGGGGGCGTGGAGCCTACTTAAAACAACAACAACGGAGTCTGCCACATCAATTGTCTCCTTCTCTCAAAGCATACAATGCTGACTTCTCAAGCATACAATGCTGTTTGACAGCATTTTACCCACAGTTAGAATTTCTTTCAAAACTGGAGTCAATCCTCTAAAACCCTGCCACTGCTTTATCCACTAAGTTTATGTAATATTCTAAATTCTTTGTCGTCGTTTAAATAATCTTCACAGCATCTTCACCAGCAGATTTCATCTCAAGAAACCACTTTCTTGGGGCACCTGGGTGGCTCAGTCATTAAGCATCTGCCTTTGGCTCAGGTCACGATTCCAGGGTCATGGGGATAATGATAATAAAAATATGATATGATATATGATAGGATATGATAATGATAAATAAAAAAAATCTTTAAAAAAAAGAAACCACTTTCTTTGCTTATCCGTAAGAAGCAACTTTTCATCTGCTCAAATTTTATCATGAGATTGTAGCAATTCAGTCCCATCTTCAGGCTCTACTTCTAATTCTAGTTCTGCTATTTCCACCCCATCTGCATTTACTTCCTCCACTCAAATCTTGAACACCTCAGTCATCCATGCCAAGATTGCAATCAACTTCTTCTAAACTCCTGTTCATGTTGATATTTGGATCTTGTTCCATCTATCACAGATTTTTTTTTTTAAGATTTTATTTATTTATTTGACAGAGAGACAGTGAGAGCAGGAACACAAGCAGGGGGAGTGGGAGAGGGAGAAGCAGGCCTCCCATGGAGCAGGGAGCCCCATGCGGGGCTCGATCCCAGGACCCCGGGATCACGACCTGAGCCGAAGGCAGACGCCTAACCACCTGAGCCACCCAGGCGCCCCGCCCTTATCACGGATGTTCTTAATGGAATCTAGAATAGTGAACCTTTTTTCCGGAAAGTTTTCAATTTACTCTGCCTAGATCCTTCAGAAGAATCACTATCCATGGCAGCTATAGCCTTACAAAATATAGTTCTTAACTAGTAAGACTTGAAAGTCAAATGACTCCTTGATCCACGGGCTGCAGAATAGATTTTTTTTTTTTTTTTAAGATTTTATTTATTTATTTGACAGAGAGAGACACACAGCGAGAGAGGGAACACAAGCAGGGGGAGTGGGAGAGAAGCAGGCTTCCCGTGGAGCAGAGAGCCCGATGCAGGGCTCGATCCGAGGACCCTGGGATCATGACCTGAGCCGAAGGCAGATGCTTAACGACTGAACCACCCAGGCGCCCCTGCGGAACAGATGTTCTGTTTGCCACATGAAAACAACGTTCATTTTGCTGGACATCTCCATCAGAGCTCTGAGGTGACCAGGTGCACTGCTAACAAGCAGTCATATTTTGAAAGCATCTTTTCCTCTGCAGAGTAGGTCCAAACCATTTGTAAACAGATGTGCTGTCATCCAGGCTTTATTGTTCCAGTTATAGAATACAGAGTAGATTTAGCATAATCCTTAAGGACCCTGCTTTTCAGAATGGTAAATGAGCACTGGCTTCAACTTAAAGTCATCAGCTGTATTAGCCCCTAACAAGAGAGTCAGCCTCTCCTTTGAAACTTTGAAGCAAGGCATTAACTTCTCTCTAGGTACAAAAGTGCTAGATGGCATCTTCTTCCAACAGAAGGCAGTTTCGTCTACAATGAAAATCTGTACTTAGTGTAGCTACCTTCACTGATGATTTTAGCTAGATCTTCTGGATAACCTGCTCCAGCTTCTACATCAGCACTTGCTGCTTCACCTTGCATTTCTGTAGTATGGAGATGACTTCTTTCCTTAAACCTCATGAACCAACGTCTGTTAGCTTCAAACCTCTGCAGCTTCCTTACCACTCTCAGCCTACAT